TATGATTCTATGATTCTAAGGTGACAATGCTGCGGGCTCTGAAGCACATCTCCCCTACCTTCAGGCACGTAGCTGCTCCAGCCCATGAGCGGTGGGGTTGTCCAGAGCAGTGACCAGCTCCACGTGAAGGCGCAGCCGCTGACGGCGTGTCGGTGCTGGAACCGAAACTCTCCCAGGGGTCTGCAGACCACAACGTACCGCTCGAAGGCCAGGATGGCCAGGGACCACAGCCCCACGATCCCTGGGGAGAGGAGGTGGGGTTGTATCTTAGGAACAGGCTCTCCGACTGAGAGCTGGGACGTCACAGATGATGATTAAGAGCTGTTGAAGCAAATATTTTAACAAGAAGCCGGATGTTTTTCTTATGGCTGAGGTAGCTGTGAGGATACTGTTGGCCAGAGAAGCTGTGCATGTCCCATCCCTGGAAGTGTCCAAGGCCAGGCTGGATGAGGCTTGGAGCAACCTGGTCTAGTGGAAGGTGTCCCTGCCCATGGCAGGGGGGTTGGAACTAGATGGGCTTTAAGGTCCCTTCCAACCCAAACCAATCTCTGATTCTATGATTCAATGTTTGGCCCCTAAAAATGAAGTTGGCAGTTGGGTGCCTGTGACACACCGTGGCTACAACCAGTTTCTCTACTGGAGTGTCCTCAACAAAGGGGTTTGTGCACGTTCACGTTTCTGGCGCGCACGCAACCATCCGTGTGCTGACACGGCAGCCAGCGCCCACGCCGCGCATCCCGAGCGAGGACTCCCGATGTGCCCAAGTGACACTTCCCCACTCTGTGAAGACCGAGACAGAGCGTGTGGTGACCTGGCACAGCCAACCATCTACTTGACCCTTCCCTGCGCTAAAGAACAGCCGACGGACGCCAGTTCTACGTCACACATGAAAGCGTTGACCTGGGGAGACGCAACGAGCTGGTGACACGTTCCCCAGAGCTTCTTTGCCAAACACAACAGCAGCACCCACAGACCAAGCCCCGTCTCGAGGTTCGTTCCTTACCCGTCAGGGAGACCATGAAGCCCTCCAGCTCGCACATCTTTTTGCCGAACACGAAGAAGCCGTTGATGTTGTTGGAGAAGCTGACGGAGCTGCCGCAGAGCGTCACCAGCAGGTCGGCCACGGCCAGGTTCACCAGGATGTAGTTCAGGGGCGACCGGAGCTTCTTGTACCTGATGGAAACCACGATGACCAAACCGTTGACAACCGAGGCAGAGACCACGACGATGCCCATCAGCACGGACACCGACAGGTACATGCCCCGCGGGGCCTGGTGGGGCCACTGGGGGCCATCGAAAGGCCCCGGGGTCCCGTTATTTAGGGGTTCCTGTGAGTTGTTGGCAGAGTACATCTGTCCTCTGGAGCAGCAGCGCTTGGGCCAGCTGATGCAGGTGACCCTCCCCAAAACCAAAGCCTCTTTATAAAGCAGGAGGGCCCGATGCACCCCAGAGGAGCTTTGCATTAAAATACCTTAAGCTTTTTTTTAATCTGAAGGGTTTGTCCTCCCACCCCCCCTTTTTATAATCAGCTCTTTATTCCGGAGGGGATAAAGAGAGACTTAAAAAAAAACCTGATGGCTGAACGGTGCATCATTTAATTAAGTAAATAGATTATTTTTCCTTCTGCTTCCCGGCTGCCTTCCCCTTGAGCGTGACCCCCTGCCCAGCCTTGCCACTATTCCCTGTGCCGTGGGTTTTCTGGGCTGCAGGTCCTCCACCCCACTCACCTGTGCTGGCAGCATGGGGGGTGCTGGGGTGCTGGGGCAGCAGCTCCCCCTCGCCTGGGCAGGGGCGAGCGCTGAGAGAGGAGCAAAGGAACATGCCCTGGGCACGCCAAGGTGCTCGTAGCTGCTGAAAACACACGTTCAGTCAATCCAAAACCACACGTTAAAGGAGGCAGCTGGAGCTGCCAGGAGGGCTCCAGCACCTTTGCCCTGGGGAGGACAAATCCGAGCAGCAACAGCCCCTCACCGGGTGTCTCCAACACCCCTCTGCTAATAGCGCCTTAAGCAATGAGAAATTAATGGAAACTTCAGAAAGACCAGCGAGTTTTAGGGTTTTTTTAACCCTCCCTTGGCTCGCCTCGCTCCCACCCTCCCTGTGCAACCCCACAGCACTGGTTTAAAACCCCACAGTGCTGGTTTAAAAGCATCTCCCGCTCCCCGAGTCCTCACCACACCCCAGCTCCTCATCTCACATCCCTGGGTCACTCATGCTCCGTGGTACCGCTCCGGGGAGATTCGAAAGCTGCACCGCCAGCATCGACCTTTTTCCTTTTTTTAATCCCTTTTTATTTTTGGGTTCTCGTTATAAATATTAACAAATCTGACAAAAAGTACACAGATAGATAATACTGAAATACAAAAGTCTTTTAGGATGCAGGTTAGGACGGTTTCTGCAGCCTTCACATGGTAGCAAAACATTGGTATCAAACATTTCACGAGGCCTGGCATGACAACCACCACTCTGCATGCAGCTGGGACGGACAGACGGACCGTCCTCTTAGAAAAGACCGGGATACAAAGTGAAGGAACCCACCCACGCACACACACACACCTCATGTCCTACTCCACCTCAGGCGTAAACCAGTTTCATGGCAAGATGTGCTGAAAAAAAATGATGGATTGAAAGGAATTTTGCAAAAAAAAAAAAAAAAGGAGGCACGGCTGACCCGGAGCTCTCCTGGAAGCTCAGACCCAAACCAGGTTTCAAGGTGCTGGACCCGTGACAGAGAGGATTACCGGGAACATCCTACTTGACACGCTGCCGGCATTCAAATAAAATCCATGCATATCTGTAGAATGCATTACAAATATTGTTAAAAAAGCCCCTGTGAACGTTGCGAGGTTGTTTCCCTCCCCCCCCCCAATATCAAACAAGGTGTAACACAATTGTTGCTTTGAAAAAGTAAAGGTAGGTTTCCAGAGATCCGATCGCTTTCCCAAAAAAACAAAGTTGGCAACACACATACAGAGTTACAGGGCTCAGAAGCTGTAGGGAATCGATGGGAAAAGAGCAGCTCTTCCTAAGAAATCATGGTTTAAAGGCTTCAAAAATTATCAGCAAGGTGCAGCACTTGCAGATTTAACTCATCCCACCGGGCGCCGGCTCTTGTGCAA